CCCCCACGTCGTTATTTTCGCGCGCGAACGAGCGCGAGTATTAAAGCCGATGTCCACTCAGCGGGGTCTTCTTCAGCGGGGACGAATATGTGAATAATATGCGAATAATAGGAGCTTTAAAAGAGAGATATGATAAGAGAGCGCCGGAACAAAAGTACGAGGTCTGAAAAGTTTCCGACCTCAACGTGAAGATAGCAGCACTTGTAAATAAAAGCTAGTGAATTTCGTTGTTCATCTGTTGACAGTTACTCACCGAAGTTTCAGCCATTTTGGACTCGCAGTTGTTATGTAACAGTCGTTTGAGTAAGTTGATGTGAGTGTTTTTGTGAAAATGGACAAAATCGAGTATCGAGCTGTCATTAAATATTTGTTTTTGAAAGGCAATACGCCTACGCAAATCAAAGATGAGTTGGATTCTGTGTATGGGGACTCTGCACCATCATTTACGACAGTGAAATTTTGGGCCGCTGAATTTAAACGTGGCCGTAAGAGCTTGGGAGACGATGAACGTTCAGGACGTCCAAAAACTGCAACTACCGACGAAAACATCGCCAAAGTTCACCAAATGGTGCTAGACGACCGCCGAATTAAAGTGAGAGAGATAGCAGAGGTTATGAACATGTCAAAAGAACGTGTTTGTCGCATATTAAATCAACATTTAGGCATGAGAAAGCTGTCCGCGCGTTGGGTGCCGCGTTTGCTCACGTTAGACCAAAAACGTGTTCGAATGAACATTTCCAACGCTCTGTTGGAGCAGTTTAGGCGCAATAAATCCGAGTTTTGGCGCCGATTAATTACTGTAGATGAAACTTGGATACACCATTATACGCCTGAAACAAAAATACAGTCCAAACAGTGGACTGCAAAGGGGGAACCGGCTCCAAAAAAAGCAAAAACTGTTTTTTCGGCTGGGAAAGTGATGGCGACTGTTTTTTGGGATAGTCATGGAGTTATTTTAATCGATTATCTTCAAAAAGGAAAAACCATTACAGGAGCATACTACGCATCATTACTTGACAAGCTGAAGGCAGAACTTGCGGGAAAACGGCCACATTTGCAGAAAAAGAAAATCCTGTTTCACCAAGACAACGCACCGTCTCACACCTCAGCGGTTGCCATGGCGAAAATCCACGAATTACGGTTTGAACTGCTTGACCATCCACCTTACTCACCAGATCTAGCCCCAAGCGACTTCTTTTTGTTCCCTCATCTAAAAATTGCGCTCGGAGGACAGAGATTTTCGTCAAATGAAGAGGCAATCACCTTCGTGAACAATTATTTTGCAGAGAAAAACGCCGAGTACTATTTCGACGGGTTACAGAGATGGGAGCATCGCTGGGAGAAGTGTGTAGATTTACAAGGAGACTATGTTGAAAAATAAAAAACAATTTTCAGAAAAAATGACTTGTATCTTTGTTAGGTCGGAAACTTTTCAGACCACCCTCGTAGATGGAAGAAAGTCCATCACCACGGAGGAAACACTCTGATCCCTGAACTATCCCACGAATAATCGATTATAATTAGTCAATTTGCTTGAAGCAAGACTAGTGGATCAGGACTAGGGATACTATTTGCCTAAATATTGTTGTCACAATAAAACATTAATATTGTTTCTCGTCTATACATACAAAAGGGTTGTGAAGGCGACAGTACTCTGAAAGCGGTACACTAGTCTTCTTTTTTGCTGTCCATACGTGTTTGAACGGTATTCTCCGTGATATGTAGCGTAACCAAACACTACAGATCTCTCAGCCATAGTATTTGTTTTACAGATCACAGCAGAGACAGCAATGCTCCTTAGGCTGAGGCTATATGCACACGGAGAAAAGGCTGAGGCTATATGAACTGTATGCTATGAGGCTATGAACTATATGCACACTGAGAAAAGTATATTTAAAAATTTATTTGTGTGATAAAAATTTATTTTACAGAAATAAATTTTATTTTAGAAAAATAAACTTTATTTCGTAGAAATAAGCTTTGTATGCCACAAATAAATTTTTAAGTGTTTTTTTCTTAGTATATGAAGAATTCTTATATGAGATGACTGAACATTATGTATCGCAAGAATCGTGGCTGTGAACTGTATAGATGACACTCTTTTAATGCAACTCTTTTAATAGCAACTCTTTTAATGCTCTATCTATTTAATCTCTCTATATATTTAAAATCATTTAAGAATCATCTCTCTCTCTATTTGAAATCACATAAATTTTCTCTCTAATCATATAAAATATGTGTATGTTAGCAACAATAGCAGTGTTCTCTTTGTGTATGGTTTCTTCACATTTGCCTCTCCATTTTCGAACACACGCCCGAAATAACGACGATGGACCGAACGCGTCTCTCGGACAGAGCGCGACTTCATTCGACAAAGGAAATCTCATTATCTACGAAATATTATACATGCAGTGACAAAACTATTTAATGAGTCATTAAAGCTGTAATCCCTGACACAATGTTCCATATTGTAGGAGCAAAATATTCGTTGTAGCACGCGCTCGAGCGCGTGCTCGTCGGTTAATTAAAGCGAGCCCCTCGTTCTCGCGGGTCCTTCGGGCTTCGTTAATTGCGCGACACCCCGAAGAGAAACTCGAGGAGGGGGAGGAAAGATAGAGGGGGGAAATTCTCGTCGAGAGCCTAATTTAATTAACGCGACATTAGAGTAACCTATAATGTTCGCTTTTTATTTTCTCCCGGTAGGTCGCACGCGAACAAACGAACAGCTCGTCTCGAGCAGTCTCATTGCGCGCAACGTCGATTTTTCGATGGAGAATCGCGGGCGAGCGCCGAAGACACTCCTCGTAGAATGTTTCCTCTATTTGTTAAGTACTTGCCAAGATGAGGGGGAATATTCGACCGTTTAAATTACAACACTGTCACCGCGTCGAGGCATTTTGCAAAATATATCGCGCTAATAATTCCTCCTCTTCGACCTCGTTTCCCGCCGTGAATTGCGCGCGCGAGCGAACATTCGCATCGCGATTAAAATCCGTCAGTTGCCGAAGTGCTCTACATTACGCGTGCATGAGATTTTTGCAGAAGAGGATATATAATGAAAGATTATTATCGCGCATTGTGCCATGCTTGCGGCATTCCTATTAATTAACAAAATTGGCCGGGAGGAGGATTAATTGATTTGCACGGGTCGCGTTCATGAATG